TAACCTGCCTGCTGCGGAAACTGCATTACCCCAGTGTGTGGATCAGTAAAGTTTTATCTTGTGTTATGTTATGTTATCTTTAATGTTAATCACATTTCTTATTTATATTTGTTTTTCAATACAAATAAAGATGACGTTTTGATTTATAATCCCTGACATGAGGGAAGGAACGACCTTCATTGGTGCATCGCTTTCCCGAGTCAGACCTCCCCGCCTCGTAGACGATCTTCGCCGTTAGCTGGTGTCAACACCAGGAGCTGAGCATCGTAACCAGCGGGACTGAGCTGCTGCGAACAGCCGACGGACGTGTGTGTTGTGTGGGGAGCGGAGCGAAGCACCAGCCGGTAAGAACGAACAGGCTTGAATCAGCTTATTTCCAATAAAACCGAGAGGTGACACATGTGGTTTGAGCTAGCTTGGTTAGCTGGAAGGACTAGCCGGTGATCGCTAGCAGGATTAATGTTTATTTCTAGCTCTTGTAAGAGGTTTTGTGGAATCAAGCTAATTTCTGACAGCACGTCAGCTCGTTGCCGGAGGATAAATGAAACCATAGCTGCTTTCATTCTGATTGTTTCCCTCCTTGGCTGATTAGTTGCGGAGGTTTTCCCCCTATAACTCACACATGCTTCACTTGCACTGCCAGCCATTACGCTTGCTGCAACAATATGTGTTATTGTGTTGCAGGTGTGCATCCAGGAGTGACAGCAGCCCTGCGTGTGTGTCGTGCACATGGAGTGACAGACCCCATTCATGGAATCCCAGAGGAAGAGGTCGGTCCCCCCATAATCCTCCCTGAGTGGATCGTTTACCTCCTCTGGCTGGATGTGATCACCATGTGACACCGCCTACAGATAGACTTGTGCTAGCTTCTGCTTTCACCCACAAAACCTCTGTTGTTCGGAGGAAAAGCTGATCAGAGAGGAAGGAGGGGGTGAAGCATCAGCTCAGGCCAAATTCTGAGAAGCTGCAGGCTTCTTTTCGACTTTGTCAGCCACCCACACCTCTGTGTCTTTAATCTGCATCAGCCTCACATCTGTTGGTTTTATAATTTGGTCTTTTTCTCTTCTGCCCCACATAACACTTAAGCAGATTGTTGAGCAATGAAGGCATTACTGCCTGCACACATTTTAAGTCATTTGGTTAAAACAGAATGTCAAAAATCAATTTATGTAAAGTTGATGGCGAATTGAATATATTTGGATTTTGGATGTGACAATTCAAATGTCCGTTTTGCCTTTTTTCCAGAACTTCTGTCATTCAATAGACCAGAAGTGAAAATAATCATTTCTGCCAATACATTTATAGTTAGTTTATAAATGATTATCTTGAACAAATAGGTTTGGGTGCTGTTTGCTATTTGAAAGTTAAAATCCTGACATGTCTTTGTGGTCTGAGTCACTCATGTTTCCAAATGATTTTGATTATTTCAGCTCCGGGGACGATGATGGAGGAGAGCGAGGCCTGCTCCACACCTGGAAGGGCTACTCCTGCAGCGTCACCCCAGAGAGGATGCTTCTACCCCGGCCTGTCCTCCAGGTCGCACTGGGCATACGACATGGAGTTCTGTTGGTGGAAGGTAATGAAAATCAGTACTTAGTGCTGGTTACACCTGCATTCATCATTATTCATCTCGAATACTGATACTTTGATCAGTGTTCCAGAACCAGAGAAAAACTAAAACTTGAGATGTCCGTCTTTGATTTCATTGTTCCTTCCACTTCAGGAGGACAGGTGTACAGTTTTGGGGAGCTGCCATGGAAGCAGAGTCAAGTCCCTGGAGGACCCACCCAGGAATGTGCTCTAAGCGGGCAGCGTGTGGTCGCCGTTGCAGCTGGCAGTTTCCACAGCGGGGCAGTGACGGAGGATGGCGGCGTCCACATGTGGGGGGACAATGGGGCAGGACAGTGTGGCCTGTCGGGGCTCAGTGCCGTCCCCAACCCGACTCCGGTGGCTCTGGTGGACTCGGACACTGTTCCCCCGCAGACGGTGCCTGTGCTGGAGTTGGCCTGTGGGGAACAGCACACCCTGGCGCTGTCGGTCAAGCGGGAGGTGTGGGCATGGGGCAGCGGTTGCCAGCTGGGCCTCAATGTGGCCACCTTTCCTGTGTGGAAACCACAAAAGGTTGAACACTTAGCAGGGAGGTATGTACTTCAGGTGGCCTGCGGGGCTTTGCACAGCCTGGCCCTGGTGCGCTGCCTGGGATCTCAGGATGTCCAACGGCCCCCCGTGGACAAATGCAGACATTGTAACCAGCTGCTGTACACCATGACGGACAAAGAGGACCACGTCATCATCTCTGACGGTCACTACTGCCCCCCTGGCGCGGAGCTGACTAAGGATGAGAGGAAGCTGGAGGCGCCCGCCCACGGACTCAAAACATCTCCATCTGAGCCCGTCCTCTCCTCTCATACATCCACCTCACACTCTGATTCCCCAGCACCTCAGACAAGTGCTGACCCCTCCTCTGACTCTGCCCCCGTCCAGGACCTGGAGAAAGAGAATACAGCATTGGCTAACGGAGTGCTGCCTTGCTCAGACTCTGACCCCACTGCTCAGTCTGAAGGCGGCAGTGGTGCTGTATCAGTGGTCAAGAGTTCACTCTATCCAGATGAGCAGGCTGTCAAAGACTACTTGAAGAAGCTGACAGACAACACACAGACAGAAGCGAAGACAGGAGGACTGCACAGTCTGCTTGTGAGTTTACTGCACAGATACTTATGTAGATGTGGTCCTCTCTGAAACTCCGTCCTTGATTCTTCTGTTTCTCTTCCAGCCTTCAGCCGTGGGCCTCGCCTCCAGCCCGAGCGCCACACTCAACACCCTGGTGGCCTCTTGCGCCTCTGCTGTGGGCGAGCGGGTCGCCTCCACCTACGAGGCCTTGTCCCTCAAAAAGATGATGAACTACCTGCCCTCTGGGGTGTCTCGGTCAGGCGCGCCCACTGGGCTTACCGGCACGGCCCCAGGAGTCGGCGACAATACCACAGAGCGTGTCCGCCAGGAGGACTCCATGCAGGGCAAGAAGAGCTCCAGCACAGGAGACATCCGCGAGGAGGAGGCCGAGAGTATGCGGCGCCGCCTCTCACTCCCAGGACTCCTCTCACAGGGTAGATACGCTGTTCACCTCTTATCATCCTCCTATGCCCTGCTGCGTAAGTACGCCTTGCGCGTGTGCAGGTCTATGTCTGTGTGTGTTCATGCTTGTGAGCACTGCAAAGGCTTTTCATTGTGGCATGCTTTGTGCACAGTAGTGTCGTTGTATGTGACATCCAGAGCAACATCACATACAGCTGGTTTGAGAAAGCAAAAGGAAGGTTTAAAAAATCTGGGTTTTCCACGTTTTCTT